ATAAGAAGAGTCACCAGCAGAGACAAAGAAAAGATGAGGATGTCTCTTTCCACAAAACCCATTTCAGTGACTGAAGAAGCATCTGCTCTATGATAATATTGGGGGACCTGATCACATCTCTCAGCACTGGACAGATCATCTAGGCAACAAGTTAACAGAGTAACCATTATTCTTTCAGAAGGAGAGAAGAAATCTAGGGTAATTAGAGGGTGGAGGGGGAGGGAATGGGGGAAGGGGAGAGGTTGGACAAGAGGCATAAAGAATAATTATGATTTGTAACAATATATATGCTAGTAATACTGATTTAATCAACATATCTCAATGTTCAACCCCCAAAATATGTATAATCGATTTTGATTCAATAAATAAAATAAATTATTAAAAAATTACTCATGTACCTTGATTCTACAATTAACGCTTTATTATATAGTTGACGCTTGAACAACATGAATTTGAACTATGCAAGTCTATTTATATGAGTATTTTTTTCAGTAAATACAGCCATCCCTCTGTATCTGCAGGTTCCACATCCAGTTTCAACCAACTGCTGTTGAAACACTTCAAAATACAGTATTTGCGGGATTTGGAACATGCTTATACAGAGGAACCTGCATATACGGAGGAACCTGCAGATAAGAGAACCAACTTTCACATCTGCAGTTTCCGCGGGGCTGCCTGTGAAACTTGAGCATCCTTAGATTTGGGTGTACTGACATAGGGGGGTAGGGATCTTGGAACCAATCCCCTGTGGATACCGAGAGATGACTGTAGTTGCTTTATCACATACCTGTCCATCCCTATATCCTCTCATCACACTAGATTTTTTTTTTATGCTTTTCAAATTAAGTTGCACACATTAGAGTGCTCCTCACCCCCAAATGCTTCATCATGCTTGTCATTAACTAGAGTTCAATGTTTGTGGTTCTTTTTTCCCTTTGAGGTGAAATTTACATACAGTGAAATACAGAAATCTCGAGTGTGCCATTGGATACACTTGGACAAGTGGTGCACCTGTGCAACACAGATCCCTATCAAGATGCCCAATATTATCACCCCCAGAAAGCTCCATCATTCCCCTCCCCAGTTAATTCTACTTACTCCCTACAACCCTAGGCAATCATTGTTCTTAAGTTTTTCTTCCTATTCTAGAATGTCAGATGAGTGCAATAATATGTGTAGTATTACATGCTTTGCAGGCTTCTTTCTTTCCACTTAACATTCATGGTCTTCCTCTGTGCTTTCTGTATTTTCTAAAATGAGCATGTATTAATTACCTTTTTTTTTTTCTTTTTGTCTTTTTTCGTGATTGGTAACGGGATCGCAACCCTCAGTGTTGCGCCCGTACTGTGACCGGCAACGGGATCGCAACCCTCGGTGTCGCGCCTGCACCACGCTCAAACAGTGAGCCGACCGGTCTCTATATGGGATCCGAACCCTCGGCAGGAGCGCCACCACACTCCCAAGAGCCGCACTCAACCGAGTGCGCCACCGGGCCAGCCCAGTATTTCTTTTTATTATCAAATAATATTCCATTGTCTGAATCTATCACAGTGTATTTCTTCTTTTGATGAATGCCCGAACTGTGTCCAGTTTTGGACAATTAAGAATGAGGTTCCTGGGCCGGCCCGGTGGTGCACTGGAGAGTGCGCCGCTTGGGAGTGCGGCGGCGCTCCCGCCGAGGGTTCGGATCCCATGTGGAGACCGGTTCCTGCTCACTGGCTGAGCACAGTGCGGGTGCAACACCGAGGGTTGCGATCCCGTTACCGGTCAGTAAAAAAGACAAAAAGGAAAAAAAAAATGAGGTTCCTAGGAACTTTTCTATATGAGTCTTTCTTTGGACACACATTTTCATTTCTCTTGGGTAAATATCCATGGAATTGCCGGGTCATAGAGTAGATGTGTTAGATTTTATAGGAAACTGCTAGCCCTTTTCCCAAAGTGGTTGTACCATTTTACATTTCTAGTAATAAGGTGTGAGAATTCCAGTTACTCCACATTCCCATCAACATTGATATGAGGGCTCTTCAAAAAGTTCATGGAAGAAATTCATATTATCTTTTGCTTCTATTTTTTCATGAACTTTTTGAAGTACCCTTGTGTTGTCAGTCTATCTAATTTTAGCCATTCTGCTGGATGTGCAGTGGTATGTCATTGTGGTTTTAATTTGCATTTCCCTAATGACTAATGATATTGAGGCTTTTTCATGTGCTTAATGCCTATTTATATATCTTCCTTTGTGAAGTATCTTTTCAAAGCTTTTACCCATTTTTAAAATTGGGTTTTCTTTTTTTTTTTTTTTTTTTTATCTTATTGTAGTTGTTTATATTTCCCGGATACCAGTTCTTTATCAGATATATATATATTTAAAAATATTTTCTTCCAATTTGTACATGCCTATTAATTTTCTTAATGATGTCTTTTGATGAGCAGAAGTTTTTAATTTTAATGAAGTCTAATTTATCAATTTTATCTTTTATGATTATTGCTTTCTGTATCCTCTTTAAGAAACCTACCCTGTTGGAGAAGATACTCTCCATCTTTTTTTTTTTTTATAAGAGTTTTATAGTTTTAGCTTTGAAATTTAGGTCTATGATCCATCTCAGATTAATATTTGTGAATGGTTTGAATAGATGTTAAGGGTCATTTTTTTCCATTTGGATATCCAGTTGTTCCAGCACCAGTGTTGTGAAAACTTTCCTTTCTCTATTGGATTCCTTTGGCTCCTTTGCCAAAGATCAGATGACTATTTAAGTATGGATCAATTTCTGGGCTTTTCTTTTCCATTTAACTGTTTGAAGATTCTATGCACATAACTGTTATGATTTCTGGAGGTTTATAAGAAGTCTTGAAACCAGATAGTGTAAGTCCTCCAACCTTATTCTTTTTCAAGATAGCTTTGGATATTTTACGTCCTTTCTGTTTCCATTGTAGAATCAGTTTGTTGGTTTCTAAAGAAAAGCTGGTGGGATTACAAGTGCAGTTGCATTCAACCTATAGCTCAAGTGGGGAAGAAGTGAGCAGTTTTTATGTGCTAGACTGTTGTAAGCTCTTGATTACATCCATGAACAAAACAAAGATCCTGGCCCTACTGTAGCTTACATTCAGAGTGGATTTTTTTGTTGTTGTTGATTTGTTTTCAATCAGAATTTATTTATTTAAATTTCTGATGATTTCCTTAGATGGATTCCCAGAGGTAGAATTACAGGATCAAAGAATATGAACTTTTTCAGGCTCTTTAAACATATGACCAGATTGCCTTCTAACTCAGCAAGTATTTATCTTCCGTAGAACTAAGCACTACCCCTCAGCATTTTGGAGGTCTAGCATGGTGATGATGTAGTCAGTTTCTGCTCTTGAAGCACTTCATTCAGCTGGAGAGACAAGATGCCATTCATGAAACAGTTGGGTCCTGTCCGGTGTTTAATGAAACCCAAATTAAACATGCAATGTCCAAATAATCCTAAGAATACAAGGGGCAGAAAAGAGGTCAGCTTTGGCTAGAGTTAACAGATCAGACATCGTGGGGGTGCTGGAATCTGTAGTGGGCACTGAAGGTTATGGGTAAGTGCTGGGCAAAGGAACAGGAAGGAACCGGGCCTTTCAGGTTGGGCAGCATGAATAGAGGTGCAGCAAGTACTTGTTTTCTGTGGAGACCAGCCTGGCTGGGGTGGAGGGTGTGGGCTCAGGGACAGTAAAAGCTCCTTTTCCATGGGCTGGTGAAATCTGGTTATGGACAGCCCTGGATGCCAGGATTCTTGAACTCAAAGAAAAGGAAAATGCCTGTCTTCCTGCTTTCCCTCTTTATAGGTGCTGGGCTGTGCTGTGGAGCTCCCTGATGTCAGTTGCAAGCGGTTTCTGGATCAGCTAATTGGATTCTTTAATTTTTACAATGGACCTGTTTCTCTGGCTTATAAGGTATGTGTATAGTGTTGAGGAGGCTTAGGCTGAGCTTCCTTAGCAAAACTAATATTGCTAGAACACAGCACTTACTCTGGGGTCAGTTATACTTAACATAAACACATTGTGTCTAGTGACAAATTCAAGGGGCCTTGGAGCCCTTCTCAGGTGCCTTTGTTCCCAGATGTTTATCCCCATCTCCTCCTCCCTGGGACAGTTAGAAAGAGCAGGCTCTGGTTGCCACCCTTACCCAGCAGGTGCCCTGGGTCTGTAATGGGGTCGGTTATCGGGTGGTAGTGAGGGGCTCTTGTGTGTGGAGAAAGTTCAAAACAGACCTTCCCTCCTGGCCACTTTCCCATGTGAGGAACAATTTCTGTGGTTGTTGGGATCCTTGCCAAAAAGTCTGTCCCACAAAATCTCAGCTATTCACCTCAGGCTGTTTCTGTTTTAGAACTGTTCTCAGGAAGAACTGAGCAGGGAATGGGACACCTTCATCGAACAAATTCTGGAAAACACCAGTGACCTGCATAAGATATTCAATTCCCTCTGGAACTTGGACCGAACAAAAGTAACATTCTTATCCTCCTTATTCTTTTCATATATAACAGAGGTTTTAGACACTTTAAAAATATTCCTTAACTGAACTGTATCTAGAGAAGTGAACAGAATATGACCTGTCCCAGGCAGGGTGGCTGTTAAGCCCTGCCCTAAAGTTCCATGCTGCTGCCCAAAGGTGGCCGGGTGAGCTTGGACAATCCAGGTCCCCTCTCAGAACCTAACTCCCCTTACCCAGAAAGTGGTGTGGTCATACCCGCCTTCCAGGGCTGTTTTGATGATAAAATGAGTCAGTACCCAAAATAACACCAAGTAAATGCTCAGTAAAGGGAATTATTGTTCTGCTAATGCCTTAAAAGTGTTGAACTCAGTAATTGAAGGTCTCCTCCTCTCTTGATGTTAATATCATATGATTTAATCTCAACATCAAAAATGCCCTTAACATTTTAAGAAAAGGGTTGCTGTATCTGAGCGTGAGTGGTTGGGAAGTGTTTTGGTGTCTGAGCCATTTTACTTGGCCTCACCCCCTCTGCTGCCCCTTAAGAACCAACCACCAGATCCCTGAGCATCTCAGGAGGTGAGGCATGTTCTGCACTGTCAGCCCCCCTGTGTCACGCTTCTGTGGTAAATAGTGTCACTTCCACAAAGGTGTGGCACTGTGACTCAGCCTTCATAGAGCATGGCTCTGCTAGAAATGGGGAAGGGTTTTGAAAGAAAGTGAGCCAAGATGCCAAGTACCGATCAAGCTTTATTAAAGGAAAAGAATCTGCCAGGCTGTGCTCAAAGTGGAAGACAGCCCAGGGCTGCCCAAAATGGGGGACAGCACCAGGTGTGGGGGTAGGAGAGCTTATATAGTGCGCCAAGGGCTGTCTGATACCATCAAGGAGGGCATTATGCTAATGTGGAAACTATGCAACCAGCGTGGAGAATTGCGCCCTTGCCGAAGCAAAGGGTTTCTGTTTAAGTCAGGAGGCTTCTCGTAAAGGGAAGGGGGGAGGGGTTTGGTGCTGGAGTGGAAGACAAAGCCAGCAGTTATTTTGTGCTTATTGTGTGCACAACGGTGCTGGTCTTGTCCAAAATCCATCAGGTTTTCTCTGTTCCTGTGTGGAGGACTTCTTGAAGTTGGCCCCAGAGCCTTACAGACTTTCTGGCTGGGATGGGCACAGCCTTGAGGCCGTGAAAGAATAAACTTAACTTCTTCACGTGGCAACAGCTTCAGACCCTGGCTCCCTTACATACTGAGTTCTAACACCTAATGGATATTCACAGCTTTCTGCTGCCAAGCAGGCAGGTGGAAGTATGAAGAGGCTGTTGGTTATTGCTAGACATTCTTGACCAGGTTCAGATGCTTTTCATGTATTTTTAGGGATTTCTAGGCAACTGACTCCTTATAAGGATTGTAGAATTGAGGCATATTTCCCTGAGTGAAAGACCATAATGTTTTCATTTTATGTTATGGAATAGAATTACGGGACATGGTCAGACATCAGCCAAGCCCACTGTATTGCCATGGGGACTGCACATCAGAGGGAGGGTGCAGCATGGGTTTTATCTGGTGTTGTATTTGAAGGGTATGCCCTCCTCTTATGCTGCTGTCTGGTCTCAGCATTGATAGTCAGGGTCTCCTAGGTGATCCTAGCCATATGCCATATTCACTGCACGTTCCAGCTTCCAGAGAGGCCTCCTTGTTCCAAGAACTGGGCGTTTTGTGGTGTCAGCAGTTCTGAGTGTAGAGAGGTAGTACAGTACCAAGGCATGATGCCAATTATACCATGTGACACTTTCTCTTTTTTCCAGACTTTGGGTTAGAACTTGCCTATGTGTCCTATAAAGCCCTCTTTCCTTCTTCCCTGGCTGATGGCGGGTGTGCTTCTCGCCCTGCACAGGTGGAGCCCCTCTTGTTGCTGAAGGCAGCCCTCATTCTGCAGACCTGCCAGCGCTCGCCTCACATTCTTGCTGGTTGCATCCTCTATAAAGGACTGTGAGTAACGCCAGACTGCTCTCCTTCACCCATTTTCGCCTGCTGCAGAACTGACCAACCTGGCCATCTCCAGATCAGGGGTGGGAAGCTCAGTCTCTGGCTAGTTCCAAGTGGGCTGGTTTGGCAAATACCAGGTGGTTTAGGTTTGATTTAAGGTATGCACCTGTCTTTGAGCAAAGCTGGGAAGTAAACTGTTATGTTCTGAGGAGTTAGGTATATAAAAGGGACCCATGTAATTCTCAGTGTGGGGCATGCCATTATAGTTGCCAGTCTACAAAATGCTAATAATGCCAATCCCCCAATGTCGCCAGCAGTTAGCATCATAAACAATGGGGCTGGAAGCCAGCTGCTGCCTTCCTGCTGCTGCCAGGGGACCCTGGTGTGCTGGCTGTGGCTCAGCTCTGCCAAGCAGCTTTACAGGCCTTTACCCAGGCTCCTACCAGCCTCTTAGCCAGATCCATCTCTTGGTTGGCTTCTGAGAATTCACTGCATCTCTCTACGTAGCTGGAGGGCCTCTTCATGAGTCTGAGTGCCTAAGAGCCACTTGACGCATCTTCCAGGGCCTCCCTCCTCCTGGAGGGTTTACTCTCAGCCCTGGGCAGGCAGGGCCGTTGCTCTGCACCCAGAGTTTTCTGCCAACCAGATGATTGTGGCTGGAGAAGCATTCCAGGCTCTCACAGGGACCCTCAGGCCTGGCAAACTGGACTTAGAATCCTGGCTTCTCTTTTTACCAGCTGTGTAACCTTGGGCAACTTACTTAACCTCTGTTTTCTCTTTTGGGAAATAATATTTTGTGGAGAATGAAATAACAGATGTGGGGGCCGGCCTGTGGCTCACTCGGGAGAGTGCAGTGCTGATGACACCAGGGCCACGGGTTCGGATCCCATATAGGGATGGCCGGTTTGCTCACTGGGTGAGCGTGGTGCTGACAACACCAAGTCAAGGGTTAAGATCCCCTTACTGGTCATCTTTTAAAAAAAAAAAAAAAAGAAAAGAAATAACAGATGTGGAAGGACTAAGCACAGTCCCTGGTGCATGTATTACCCCCTTCACTGTTCTCGTCCTGACTGTTCTGAATCAGCTCCTGGGGCTTCCTAGCTCACCAGTGACATAGCCATCAAAGAATATTTTTTTCCTTATTTTGCATTTCACATTTTTTTCCTTTTCTTTTTTTTTTTTTTTTTTTTTTTTTTTTGCAGCTGGCTGGTACAGAGATTTAACTCTGTACTGTGGTGTTATCTATTTCTTAGGTATTTTTAAATTATATAGCTAATGACATGAACACATTTTCATTGTGAAAAAAAATTAGCCGGTAAACACACAGAGCACAATTTAAAAGTTCCCTTCTCTTTTCCTCACTCTCAACCCACCATCAGCAGTTTCTGAGTGTTTTCACACACCTGTATATGTGTGTATATGCATGATTTTTCGGGGGTGGGGTTTCTGTCTACGTAAGCAGGATCATATGGTTCCTGGACTTAATGTGCATAGTAGAGATCTCTTTACCAGTCTGTATTGGTTCACCTCATTCTTGTAAAGGCTGCACATTTTTTGGTGTTCCGGTTGTTCCATGATTTATTTAACTATTTTCCTTCTGATGGACATTTAGGTTGTTTACCCATTTTTTTTGGACATTTTTGCCATTTTCCCTGTAGTGAATATTCTTACTTATACGTCATGATATAAGCTGAATCAAAGGGTTTAGGCATTTTGTTTATTTATTTATTTGACAGTTTTTTATTAAAAGATAATTGATTATATATATTTGTGGGGTACAGAATTGAATATCAATATATGTGTACAATATGTGGTGATCAAATCAGGATGATTAGTATACTCATGTTTACAAAATGTCATCAATCTTTGTGACTCTTAACTTGTTTCTTGCCAAATCTCCTTCCTTTCCCCCTTTTCCACCTCTTATAACCACAGTTTTGTTCTCTTTTTTTGGGGGGGTGGTACAGTTTAGACATTATAAACGTTGCTAGGAACTGCCAGAAAGCCCTCCCACCAGCCATGTCCTCAAGATCCTCGACAACTTGGGCTGTCAGGCACCTTTTAAATTCAGAGTCTGTCAGTGTATTTTTTCTCATGGTATTCTTGTTTCTGTGTTTGATCTCCTAGGATTGTCAGCACCCAGCTGCCACCCTCCCTCACCGCCAAGGTCCTGCTTCACCGCACTGCACGTGAGGACCAGGTATTGTAAAGGCCACCTGCCTGGAGAGAATGCTTCACCCAAAGTATCTGTCACTGCTCCTGGCAGGTCTGATCCTGAAAGCCAGATGGATTGAGAGCAGCAGCCATGGCCATGGGACAGTTGTTTCACTTAACCTTGTCAGGACCCCATGTCCATCAGTATGGCTTTCCTCAAGAGTGAAGCCGAAAAAATGTTTCTTCTACATGGTAGTCTTGGATAGTTGGTGTTTCTTCAAACCTAGTGGATCTATGAGAATGTGACTTCCCACGAGAATGGCCTTTTAGGTCAAGGATATGTCAGATTTTTCAGAGACAGACTGTAAAGGATGTGTCCTTAGAAAGACTTAGGGAAACAGAAACTTTAAAACAATACTTCCATTTTGTATTTATTTAATTGTTTTTATTATGAAAAAAGGTCACACACGCTCATTGAGAATAAAATTGCTCACAATTGGATGGCACGGAGGTAACACCACTGTTAGCATCTGGCATATTTCCTCCCAGCCTGTTTTTCTTTTGCTTTGTTTCTTTTTTGTGTATGAAGCTATGGCTTCAAATGTATCATAAGGCTCTCTCTTTGCACTTATTAAATCAAGACATTTAAAGTGTAGTGGGGCTCTACTCAGGCTCCTTAACACTGTTGGTGCAGGTGTCAATTAGAATAGCCTTTCTTTCTTTCTTTCTTTCTTTATTTTTTTTTTCCTTTTTGTCTTTTTTCGTGACCGGTAACGGGATCGCAACCCTCAGTGTCGCGCCCGCACCGCGCTCAACCAGTGAGCGGACTGGTCTCTATATGGGATCCGAACCCACAGCGGGAGCGCCGCCGCGCTCCCAAGCACCGCACTCTACCGAGTGCGCCACCAGGCCGGCCCTAGAATAGCCTTTCTGATAAACAGGTTGATAATGAGAGTATTAAGGATGCCCTTTCCTTTTTCCTAGTAATTCAGCTTTTGGGAATCTATTCTAAGAAAATAATCTAACTGCAAGTAAAAGATTTATGTTTAAAACTTTATCGTAACAGGTTTTATGAAAGTGAAAAATCACATAAAACTTAAATGTCTAAGGTAGGAGTTGGCAAAGTGTGGCCAGTGGGCCAGTCATCTACAAATAAAGTTTAATTGGACTACTTTTGAGCTTCAGTGGCAGAGTTGAGTAGTTGGGACAGAGACCATACGGCTTTCAAAATGGAAAATATTACTTTCTTGCCCATTACTGGAAAAGTTTGCTAATCACTGGTCTAAGGCAGGGAAATGCTTAATTTATCTGTACTGCTTTAAACTTTATAAAATTTTAGTCAGACATTTAAAATGGCCCCAGATGTTTTGAAGACAGGAACTGAAGGTTACTGTTTTAAGCAGAAAAATGGCTTGGCCAAGTTTTATGAAGAGTTTTATGTAATGTGATCTCAAAAGTATAAAAAAATATATAGACTTAAAGAAAAAACTGCCCAATATTAACAGATTTAGCTTGGGGAGGGGTGAGGGATTATATGTGATTTTTTTTTTTTTTTTTGTAAGAATTTTTTCTAGAGTAGACTAATGTATGGCTTAGTAATCTAAAATATGAATATTAACAGATTTAGCTTGGGGAGGGGTGAGGGATTATATGTGATTTTTTTTTTTTTTTTTTGTAAGAATTTTTTCTAGAGTAGACTAATGTATGGCTTAGTAATCTAAAATATGATTTTTTTTTTTTAAATCACCAAAAAACAAAAAAGAAAGCCATATTATTTTATAAGAGTGAAAGTCATTCTGTCTAGGAGAGCAGTTTTTGTCTGGCTTTTTCAGTGGGTTCTTTTGGAACCTTGAGGTTGAGATGAAGGTTTGGTTTTCTTCTGAGAAAATCCCCAGGTTTCTGGCCTGGATTGTGAACCAGAATAAACGAGAGAGGTCTGGTATAGCAGATTCTGTTTAGGTCAAATCCTTTATAGTGAAGGTCATAAGACTTTCACATTTTTGTTATTGTGGAATTGATGTGAATTCTATGTCAAGGGCCGTGGCAGATGTGCCTGTATTCCGGAATATGAGTTCCCCAAAAGTGTAAGAGAACACAGATCCTCACTTTTATTCCTAGACGGGAGAGACAGAAACTCAGAACTGAAGGCGTGATGTGAGTTTGGGTAGAGCTGTTGCCTTGTGCCCGTCTGGGCCCGGGTCCCTGCCTCCTCCCAGCCATGGCAGGAACAAGCAGCTTGGGCGAGCTTCTGTTCCATCTGCTTGGCTCTTGGCATGTGGTTGGGACAAGCTTTTGGGCTTGGCCAGGTTTTATGAACAGATGGCACAGTGAATTCCTGATTGTTAGGTCAAGAGAACGTGGTGCCCAGCGCCAACTTCTGTGTGTGTTTGTTTTCAGAGGCTACCCACAGGAGAAGGTGCCCCGCAGGAAAGTGGTGAGTATTCAGGTGCATTGCTGCATCTTGAGAACAGCAGTCTTTTATGCTACCTGTCCCTGTACCCGTCATGTGGAAGGCCAAGTAGTCCCATGCGTCAATTTCCTCTGCTCATAAGAGTAGGAAAATGGACATAATAGTGCCTCAAGAACAGTTACCCATCAGAATTCTAATTGTAAAGCTCATGTTTGTAGGCATGCCTTTGAAATCCCTCCTTTCAGATCCTCCTTAACTCAGTATTGTGAGTCTGCTCAGACAAATCCCAGAGGATCATGATTGGAAGAGGGTAAGATATGTGATGACTGCCAGGAAGACCTTTTGCAGGATGTGGAGGTGTTCCCAAGAGGCGTGTTTTATTTTATCTTGAAGTCTGAGTCGGAACAGAACTTATTGTCAGTTGCAAGTGCTTTTTTTCTACTTCATGTCTTTTTAAGTGCCACCAGACTTTCTTGCAGTGAACACCTCCCTTCTCCACAGCTGGGAGTAATGTTGCCTGCATGAGATGCTTCTGTGCTTGTTGCAGCAGTTGTACCTGCGGTTCTTTGACTTTTGTTCTGGGCTGAGGAATGCACCCACAGCACTGCTTTCCAATGCAACAGCTGCCCCTCTGTTTTCTCTGTCCCTGTTCTTTGTAATTCCAGGAGCAGCATTTCCCCCAAATGTCCAGGTCATCACTGTTTTCCTGACCAAAGAGGAAGCCGTCAGCCTCCGTGAGTTCCCAGCAGAGGGGATGACTAGGTAAGGGAACTCACAGGGGGTGAAGCTTAAACCACGCTGAGGGACTCCCTCATGTGAAACAAACCCCTGCTACATCCCATCCTTCCCTAATTCTATCTTCTCCACACTCTGTTTTGTAGGGAGCGTCTGGAACTTGAGTGTGTTGGTAAGAGGCAGTGCCACATAGTGAGATGAGAGTGAATTTTAAATCCCAGGTTTAAAACTTAATCAGCTATGTGACCTTGGGCGAGTATATTCCCTGCCTGAGTCTCAATTTTTTCATCTGTAAAATAGAGCCAGTAATAACTTTCATGGGCTCGTTGTGACCATCGAAAATAGTATGTGTGTAACATCCAGTACAGGGCCTGACTCATGGTAGATGCTCCAAGTGTGGGTGACTAATTCACTGGGCTCTGTCATTTTCAGCAAGTGATCCTGGCATCACTACAGGAAGCCCTGAGGGCCAGACATTGCCTTATTTTTACTCCTGTGGCTTGACCATGGTGGCATCTTAGGCTCTGTGGCCATAGGCACCCACGTGGCACCAAGACCTGTGCTTTTTAGGTACTCAGCATTTTAGTCTTCCTGGTGGAAGGGTCCCTCCCTGTGCACAGTCGATGTGCCCCTTCCTCATGTGTGTTTTGTTTGCCAGCTCTCCTACATCTCCAGCCAGACTCCAAGACAGCTCGGCCCAGTGCCCTTCAAAGGGTAGGAACACATTTGCCCTAGAAGGAAACGCTGCTGGGCGTGTGGAATCCATGGCCTGGGTGTTGGCGACTACCTCGAAACCCACGTCCCCTGACCAAGCTTGGCCAGATGGCAAAGGTGAGAGCAGACACTTGTCTGACCATGCTCTGGAGAGCGTTGGGCCCACAGGACTGTACAGCACTGCCAGGGCCTGGGATCCTCGCCTCAGCTGCCTCCCAGTGAAGGAACCGAGCTTTCCCCAAGGGGAACTGGACTTGTCTGAAATCCACATTCCAGAAGCTCGGGAAGTGGGAACATACTCAGGGCATTTTGACTTCCCGCATGTGTGTGCTCCAGCTGGTGGAGGTCCTTGCCACAAGGAATCTGTCAGTGACTCCAGCAACCCGGAACCCATGTCACCTGAGGACATAGCCGTCAGCAGTCTGCTCTCTCTCACCTCTCCTGAGATGCTCACCCAGAACGGAGGCCTGGAAGAGCGTGAAGACCTTTTTGACAACAGCAGCCATGTCCCTGTCCCCAGAGGAGACCCATTCCCCAAAGGGACCAGGAGGCCCTTGTCATTGCCTCCCTTGGATCCAGAGCAGAGAGGACGTAAGCTTCCTGTAGGAGAACAAGATGTGGATCTGTGTGTTGGTGGGGACCATGAGAGCCATGCGGCCCCTGGTCTGGAATGCAGTTCAGGCTTGGCAGGCTGCCGGGGCACTGGCCCCTCTGCAGACAGAATTGAGTCCACATTGACCCCTGCAGGATCCCACGTGGAACTCGTGCGGATGAGCCTCTACACTCACAGTGTTAAGGGCCTGGTGCTGTCCCTGCTGGCTGAGGAGCCACTGCTGGGCAACGGTGCAGCCATAGAGGAGGTGGTGAGTGCCCTCAGACTTCCCCCAGCCCCTCTGTAGCCTCTCCCTACCTCCTAGAAACAGATAAGCAGGGAAGTACTTCCGTCACAGCACCGCACAGATGCAGAGGAGAGGGGACAAGGGCTCAGCCTTCAGCAGTGTGACCCTGGCAAAACTACTTGTGCAATGGGGATGATGGTAGTACCTCCATCCATAGGTTTTTGCTGGGGGCAAGTAAGAGCAAGTCAGGGGCAAAGTAAGAGAGAGTCAGGTGCGCAGCAAAGTGACTGGTGCAAAGGCACCCAGCAAGGGTCAGTTCCCTTCCTCTTCCACTGCTACCTCTTTCCCAGAGTGCAGGCCTTGGAGGAAGGGAGGCCTGAGCTGGAGTCCTGGCTCTGTCGGTTTCAGCCATGGGATCCTCGCACAAGCCCTTGCCCCTCTGAGTCTCTGGCTCCTCATCAGTGGTGTGGGGTGGTGATAGGCCCTGCTGGCACCCATGCAGTGGGGTAGGGCAGGCAGAGACTGCATGCACAGCACTGTTGTGTGCCCAGCTAACGGCCTCACTTCCTAGTCGGGCAGCTCTAGGTTCCACGTCAACTGGAAACTGTACACTGCAGTATGTCACGGCCTGGGGTGGGAGTTCCCTGGGACATCTGGAATCCTAACTGGCTCTAGGGGATTCTTCTTAAACCATTCCAGTCCCTTCTCTACTTGGAGCAGTGCACTGACCTTCTCTGGGCCGAGGCCCCCACTGGAGATTCAGTTGCTATAGTAACAGCCTTGCTTTAGTTGGCAGGGAAAGTGGTAACAGTGAGAACAGCAGGTTGAAATTGCTGCAGGGCAAATGGTGTCTTGGGGCTTGCCTTGTTTTTATTCTTAAATCTATATTATTCTAAGCCAATCTTATTAGCATGCAGGGTTTGTGACCCTCCATAAGTTCCAAGTCACCTTGGAATGCAGAGAAGGCGGGAAGGCTGCCAAGCATCTTCCTTTGCACAGAGCCCCTGGCAAGAGACTGCTCCCCACTAGAGCTGTCTGGCTTATCTGTCCCCTTTCCACAGACCCCAGGTCACCGAGTTGTGGCTTGTTTGCTTCCTGTGTTCTCATTCACCACAGCTGTGAGTGACTTTATCCACCTCCTCCTTATGACAACATAGGTAGTCAAGGTGGCAGTTATTACATCTCAGTGCCCTCAGGGTGCCTTGGTTTTCATGGTCTGTGCTGCACAGAACTGAGCCTGAGAAATGTTATTTTGAAGGCCCAGTGTTTGGATGCAATAAAGCGGATATAAAATCTCTCTTTTTACTCCCCCTGCCTCCCCTCCACCTCCCAAATAGCACAAGCTGCTGTTTGGGGAGATGTATTCTGCATTAACTATATGCTGAATACCTTACATCTGTTATTTTAGCCAAGCCTCAGAACAGTTCTGAGTGGTAGTGTTTACCTACCTTCCATTTTACCAGTAAGAAAACAGCCTCTTTGGGATAAAAAGACCACATGCAAGTGGTGTGCGTCCAGAGGTTTTGCTTGTTTCTTCCCTCGCCCCAGCCTCCCTGTGTCCTGATTGATCTGCCCTTGCCATGATAGGTGGGAGGGTGAAGAAAAGGGGTATGTACCCTGCCTTCATGTGGCTCTTTCTCTTTCTTTTTTTTTCTGGTGGCTGGCTGGTACGAGGATCTGAACCCTTGACCTTGGTGTTCTAAGCACCACGCTCTAACTCACTGAGCTAACCTGCCAGCCCTATGGCTCTTGATACATGGACATATCACTTCGTTTGTCAAGGCCCATCCATGTTGTTAGGACAACAGCTTCCATGGGCTTTCATGTAAAGTAGGGTTTAGTGCTGGCTAGGCCTCAGGAAGTAGAATGCAGTTTTATGGAAGAAGAAAAGCTATTCTTTTCTAAAAAGAGTAGGGGTGACTAACTTTGATCAGCCTGCTGGTTGGAGAGCAGGTTCGTTAATCAGACCCAAAATCTGTTTTATAATTGGGAGGGATCCTGTATTGCCTTTTTGTCCCAGACCTGCATAGGAAATACTTGACCTAATTTCCCTGCAACTCCTCTGCTGCTATCTAGAAGGGCCAAATCTCCTGCCCAATGGTCAGCTACAGCCCAGATGGGACAGTAAGCACACCCCCTTTGAAAGGGCTCCTTGATTATGTTACCTATCACCAAGGCATCCTTGTGTCATTTTACCATCTGTCTTCCAGTGGCTCAACTTCTACCTCTCTCTGTTTGCAAGGGAGTGGGGGGCAGAGCAGTGGAGTAGTGGAAGGAGCAGCTGGAGGAGCAGCCAGGAGGGTTGGGGTTGGGATTGGTTCAGAGGGAATGGAGTAGGCCCACACCAGAGGGCAGCATGGAGCCACTGATAGTTTCCTGCTCACAACCCAAGATAATCTCATTGACCTTCACATACAGCGATCAGATCAATTATTCGTTGCTACAATAGGACATGGAGCTGTCTGTGTACAGTAGACAAGTCTTGAAGTTAGTGTGAGAGTATTAGCATGAAATACTTTATGAAAAAGCACCCCCCACCCTCCCCCCCAACTATGAAACTGGTGCTTCCACGTGGATGTGTGGCCCGTCTGATGCTTCTCCTGTGGTCACGAGCATGCAGTGGTATTCACGCCATTTGCTTCTGTTATTGCTAGAAGTGCAGGCGTCCAGGCAGCAGCCCCAGCTCTGTGTCTCCTAGGGCTGTTTTGAGGGTCACTTTATATAGTAGTATATATCAGGGACCAGCAGACTTTTTATGTAAAGGACCAGAAAGCAAATATTTTAAGCTTTGCACAGCTATTTGACTTTGCTGTCGTAGTACCAAAACAGCCATCGACAATATGTAAATAAATAGTGTGGCTATATTCCAATAATTCTTTATTTATGGACACAGAAATTGGAACTTTATATAATTTTCACATGTCGCAATATTAGCCTTTTGACTTTTTCCCCCCCCAACCATGTAAAAATATAAAAACTTCTTAGTTCTCAGGCTGTAAAGAAACAGGCAACAGGCTGGATTTAGCCCAGAGGCCACAGTCTGCTGACCCCTGGTATATATGAAAGCACTTGGTTATCAGTAAAAAATTGTCTACATGTCATTTGATATAACGTCTTGTGATTAACTGTGTGTTTATAGTTAGGTGATTTTATCTTGAGTACAAGTTAGCCAGAAGATTCTGGAATGAGATGCATGCCTATAGGGGAAGTGGATTTTGACGTGGCTTACTCTCGGTTCCCATCGTTCCTTCCTCTGTGTACCAGGTCAGGATGGCAGAGATGACTGTTAGCAGATTACCGAGATCCAGAAACTTACAGTGAGGCTGTGTTTTGACTTCATGGTGAATGTTTGTGTGTGCCCATGTGCTCACATGCATGTGTGCACACACATTAGTTCAAATAGGGGGTTTGTTAGCATCTGTTAAACTCAGTGTTGGAGAGGCCCATCGCAGAGATCCGAACATGAGATAGATAGTATTCTTGTGTTTCCTGAGCACATGTCCTTTTACTTAACCCTGCACCCTCCATTTAAACCAAATGGCACATATGTTGAAAGTGCTTGGCACTGGATATGTTCATGTCTTCATTCATTTAGTGATATTTATTGAACACCTACTAGGTGTCAGGCAGGCACTCTGCGAGGCATGGGGGATACAAAGATGAGTGCATAAAATTAAACCTTGTATATGAAACCTATTGACTTCAGATATAATTTCTGAGACATTCAAAATAGAAAAACCGACTTAACCCCAGTACACTGCCAAAGACAGGCCTTATGACACTCACTTCAGAAGTCTGTTTGAGTCTCTGTACTTTTATGTGAGCTTATTTTTCTTATATACAGACAAATTATCTGTGTCTATTAAAGAGACATCACTTCTTTAATAATGATCATTTTCATTTTCTTGACTCTATATAAAAATGCCCTGCCTCAGGATAGCACTTTGGAATTTACAAAGAACTTTTGTATGTGTTATTTCACTTAATCCACTCAACAGTCCTGTAGTATTCCCATTCTGCAGATGAAAAAAATGAGGCACGGAAAATTCAGCCACTTGCCCCTGGTCATCTGGCTGGGAAGAGTCTGAGCACGGATGGCCTGCACCTGAGTGGTCTTCTGCTTGGGAACAGTGGCCTTCTTGTGGCTGAAGCAGGCCCAGGAGGCCCCACTTCAGACTGAGTCTATCAGGATATGACTGATGTACTTAGTCAAGCCCTAAGTGGAGCTTGAAGAATACCACACAGCCCTTCAAGAATGATGTTGAAGAATTTGTAAGGACAGGGAAAAGTAGCTCACGCTATACCATTAGGTTACAAAACTAGTATCAATCATTACTTGTGGTTTGATCCCATTTTAGTTTTATAAAAAAAAGAGTTATACAAAATGGTATAGTCCATTGTTTTTAACTGTACTTATACAGTACTCATCTCCTGGGAGATTTTTTAAAATACAGATGCTTGGGTCTCACCTCCCTGACAACTTCCCCAACTGGGTTCCTCCTCTGAACCACCAAGCGCAGAAAACCATTTGACTGACCTCAGTCCTCCCAGGAACAGTGCATAGCCGGCACCATTCTGGATGCACCAGAGAGAAGTTACCTCACTACATGCACTGGGGGACTTCTCCACACAGGCCCAGTTGAGAATCACGGGGGGTGGTCCCAGGCCACCCATGTTGTTAAAATGCACAGCCTGGGTGGGAAAGGCATGGTTAGGAGGAGAGATAACGGTGGTAATAGTGGCTATTACTGGATGGTGAGATTATAGATCATTTTTGTTTGCTTTTTTTCTTCTTTTTTTTTGTTTATTTTTCTGCTTGTCTCTATTTTCTCACTTTTCTACTATATAATCCTTAATTTAAAAAATATTAGAACATAAGGATGGAAATTAGTACTTTTCTAAAAACAGGAAAAAACACTGGTCAGGGTTCATTTTGCTAAATCAGGTAGCCACTAAGATTCTTTGAACTATTATTTTTTAACTAAGTCCATGGTCAAATAGAAAGCCCTCAGAGGGCTTGCTGAAGTTATACTGCAAGTCCGTGACCCTCTCCTGGCCCCTTTGCAGTACCACAGCAGCCTGGCATCCCTGAATGGGCTGGAAGTCCACCTGAAAGAGACAATTCCCAAAGATGAGGCTGCCCCCACGAGCAGCACGTACAACTTCACGCATTATGACCGAATCCAGAGCATGCTGATGGGTAAGGAGCAGGTGCGGGGCACAGAGGCCCGTGGGGCCTGGGGGCACATTCTAGAGGTGGGCAGAGGTGAGAACTCGGGCCCCAGCACCACGGTAATGCTGCTCTGTGCAGAGCTGTCTGACCTGCAGCCAGAGTGCTGGTGCTCACGGCGAGCTCAGCTCCACCGAGTGTAGAATCCACTTGGCAAACACTTCTTTGCTCGTTTGTCTTTTTTTTGTCTTTCCCGAATGTTTTGAGAGAAGCTCACACATGTTCAGATATCTGTGATAAGGTCTGCTTCAGAATTTAGAGATCCATGTGCAGAAACTGGGTGATGCTCATTCTTGGGGAAAGCATGTGCTCTACTGCATAGTGGCAGCAGTAGGGCCAGCACCCTGGGTCTGTTTCTCTCCCCTTGGCTTCCACACCCATGGCTTTGAGCTGTGCTTGGTCCCAGTGTACAGTGCTGGGGTTGGAGAGGGGGTAAAGGAGGGGTCTGCTATCACAACTTCTGTGTCCTCTTCTGGAAGCGAATCTGCCACAGGTGGCCACCCCCCAGGACCGCCGCTTCCTCCAGGCCGTCAGCCTGATGCATTCCGACTTTGCCCAGCTGCCTGCGCTGTACGAAATGACGGTCAGGTGAGCCTCCGGGGTTGCTGTCGCAGACTTGCTCTCCACAGTCCTGCCCACAGGAACCACCTACCCAGGGCCCAGGCAGTGGACTTGCTCCACAGTCCTGCCCACAGGAACCACCTACCCAGGGCCCAGGCAGTGGACTTGCTCCACAGTCCTGCCCACAGGAACCACCTACCCAGGGCCCAGGCAGTGCCTTAATTCCTAACTAAATGAAGAACATTCTAGTTACTTTGCCTAAGGCCTTCTTTTATCTGCTCCTGTGGCTGCTATCGTCTAATCTCATGCATGCACATGTCATAGATTTTCTGGGTCTCTTCCTGCTTTAGACACTCAGGGTACAACAATGAAAAAACTTGAAGGTCCTCACCCTCATGGAGCTACATCCATTACTGAGGAAGGAGGCTCTTGGTCTCCTTGCCAGAAACAATGTGGAAATAACATTGTTGTCTTGGCAATTTAAAAAGGAATCCATGCTCACTATAAAAACATTCAGACTGCTCAGAAGTCTGTAAGGTGAAACTATCTCCTCCCCCACCTATCACACACCCAACATATAACCCCATTTAATAGTTTGGTGTGTATCACTCCAGGTTTTATTGTTTTCGGTTTTTAGTTTTTGCATACAAGATGTAGATGAGTAATATTTTTATTTGAATTATTTTAATATTCTTTCTTCTAGAAAATATTCTAATGTATTATTTTAAAGTTGATTTTTTCATATTATTACATATCTTGAACAGCTCCAGGCCAGTAGATAGAGATCTATTATTTATGATTATAGTTTACAGTATTTAACCAACCACACTCTGTTTTTTCTTCTCTACATGCTTCTCTTATGATCAGGCAAATTAGAGGCTCAGAAGGGGAGTGCCTGCTATTTGTGTGACATTTCATTTAGCCCTTGGGGTGATCTAGTCAAGTGTATTTTCTTATCCTCATTGTACAGAAAGGGGAATTGAAGCACAAAGAGCCAGCATCACATCCTCATTATGTGGTGGGGTCAGGATTTGAACCCAGGTCTCTTTCTACACACATTTCAGTTTGAGGGGGCAGTGTCATCGAGTGGGAGGGGCAAGGCTCGAGTCACAGACACACACAGTTCTAATGCCCTGTCATCTGCCACACTTGAGTGGCAGGTATTTCTGCTGCCCAGCGCCATCTCCAGCCAATATTCCAGTATATCTCTCCTTTATAACTGTGTCTTCTCTGGCTGTAATTCAGAGCTGCCCCAGGCTGGCTACCTGGATGTGGTTTGCATCTACAGTCACTGGTTTGGGTCCTGGTTATGTTTGTGTGTGGGGGGCGTCATTTTGTGGGAGGTGGAAACAAGTAAAATGTCAACACCTGCCCCACCACCCCTCTTGTGGCCCCACTGTATTTCACCTTCCTTGGGGCTGAGAGGGTTTTAGTGTTGGGGTACATAGCTCAAGGCATTTGCTGAGAGATTATTTTATTAATAGTAATAGAAACAACAGCTACCATTTCTGCAAGTAAAATGTCAACACCTGCCCCACCACCCCTCTTGTGGCCCCACTGTATTTCACCTTCCATGGGGCTGAGAGGGTTTTAGTGTTGGGGTACATAGCTCAAGGCATTTGCTGAGAGATTATTTTATTAATAGTAATAGAAACAACAGCTACCATTTCTTAGCCACTCACCATGTGCTATGCAATTTATATATATTTCTATTTATTTAATCTCTTTTTTAAAAAAAAGCCTCACTGAGGGCACATGCTGTTGTCATATCCACTGTACAGATGAGAAAGCTGGGACTCAGAAAGGCTGAGTGACTTAGCCCAGGGCACAGAGCTAGCAAGTAGTAGGGGTGGAATTAGCACCCAGGTGTGTGTGACTTCAGATCTGTGCTCATAACCACCTGGCCACAGTGCCTCCCCCTGTGGCTATAAGAAAAGCTTGTCCTGCTGCTCCAGTGGGTGGCAGAAGACACTTAAGCTAGGTGGGGCCTTCAAGCTCCTTGAGGTCCCATATGGGGAAGCTGGAGGAGGATGGGATTCTCCTCCCTCCTTATATGGAGGGAGAGATCTGGGCAAGTGGAGCCTTAGTGCTCCCTTCCTTCACCCTCTCTTACTAGATTTGGGGAAACTGAGGCCCATAGGAAATAGTTTGAGACAGGCAAGATCCAGGAACCAGGTAGTCACCTGGCCGTGGACTTGGTGCCTCCTGGATAGACCCTCCTTTGCCTGGTACCCTCTTCCCTCCCTCTACTTCCATGTTTACACATTTCCTGTTGCTTCGTTTCCATCCCACTATAATCACCTCATTCCCCCTCAGTCTGTCCAACCACCCCAGTGTGGAGAGCAGATTAAACTCCTTCCTCTGACACTGCCACTGTATTGTCACAGAGACAGGGCACCATCACCCACCCTCTGTGAGCCTCACAGTTCTTGTCTGTCACATGGGATAAGGCCACCACTAGCGAGGCTTATGTAAGGCATGAACCAAGACTGCAGGAAAAGCACTTTGCATAGCTGCTGTTCTATCAAGAAAGCAGGTGCTCAGCAGTGCCTGTATTCAGTAATTACAACTTCAGGTTCTGTGGCTACAGCCACTGTGGACAGTCCCGCCATGGACTGTCCCAGAATCCAGTGAGTGGAAAACAAGGAAACACAGTTATTGGCACTGAAGGCTGAAACTCTGGAGTCCCTAGCCATGGCAGCTGTATGTCGCAGTACTTGGTGTGTGGGGGCCACTGTGACAAGCACCTCACTGGGGTCCCTTTGTGATCTGGGACTTGCTCTGGCATCATCAGACTGTTGTCTTCTTTCCTTCTCCAACAGAAATGCCTCCACAGCTGTGTACGCCTGTTGCAACCCTGTCCAGGAAACTTACTTCCAGCAGCTGGCGTCCGCAGCACGGAGCTCTGGCTTCCCGAGTCCTCAGGACGGTGCCTTCAGCCTCTCAGGCAAAGCCAAGCAGAAGCTGCTGAAGCATGGGGTGAACTTACTCTGAACTGTAGTGCGAAGTTCATTACCCCAGGAGATGACTGTGCAAGAGAATACCAGCAAAGGAAGCTCTGCCTTTTTAAATAGAAAAGGTCCCTCTATTTTATTTTTCTTGGAACAGTCCCTTTTTAGAAACGTAATGATATTTGGGTTTGTGTTACTCTTTTTGCAGATTGGGATGTGTGTGTGGTGGTGGTGGGGGAGTAGTTCTTCAAGTCAGCAGACATAGAGCGCTTGATAAAGAACTTTATTATGTTGACAGTATTGGGTCCAGGCTGGGAGCCTGGCGCCTTATACCAAAGACGTACAGGGTCAGTTAGTTTCCCTGTCATATTGAGCCTGAGATATTCGACATTTCCTGCTGCTCTTCCATCCCAGCCTGGACCGGTGCCACAACATTTCAGGTTGGCATTTCTTCTAGAATTTGGTCGTCCCTAGTCTGGAGTGTTTGTTCCAGCCCGTGACCAGGTGGGCGCTATGAGGTGTGAAGTCAGGGAGGAGGTGGATCTCTTGGCGAGCAGCCCCACTCCCAGTTCCCAGGTTTTCTTCCTCATCTGTCCTCCTGGGGGTCTGAATACTTCATGCAGAGAAGCAGGCAGCATGCTGAGACCACCTGGTTTGAATTCTCCTGGAACTATTTCCAAATCCAGGAGCCAGTTCTTGGGAATACCTGCAGTGGGGGGCAAGTCTTGCTAATGCAGAAGGGATTTTGGGCTTTAGAGATCACTTTGTAAAAGCTCTGGGGGGCCGAGACCGAAGGATTTGGTGACAACAGAAACAAACTGTGCTGCCTTTGGTTAGGAGTGGGCTGTACAGCTGGTTCCACTTGAGTGAGTGTCCCCAAATAGGAGTTTCCAAGAGGTTCTGGGGTAAAAGCCAAACTGCGCTTTTCAGTAGAGGCTGTGGAAGGGAACGGCATTCATTTGTGTGTTTCTGGGACGGTGTGGTAATAAAACATCAGTTCTATTACGTTATATTCAGACATTTTATGATACTATGTTGCAGATCACAGATGAAAACATTTATCAAAAACTTAGCCTAGTGTTTACTGGAAGTACCTGAGACTCCATATGAAAATTGCAATGTTAATAATTTCATGTCAGTGAACAAATATCTAATGTTTGTGGCATGGTATCTTTTTCTTGAAACAAGTTTCCAAGGGCTAAATATAAAATAGCCAAAAATACTATTGAGGTCTGGAGTAATTAAATAGTAATATTTTTAGTGACAAAGTTAAGGTAAGGGTTAAGTACCTTTGTATGTGCATGTGTGTGTGTACAAGTGAGTGTATGCATACATGTATTTTTTTTACGTCAACACATTTCTCTTTTCCTTCCTGGATTCTGTGTGGCCGGGTGAGGAGCCGTGCACTTCACATTGGTCTGTCTGCAAGGGTGATGGGCTGTAGCCCCCTGCTCCAGTGAGCACCACCTTCAGTGTGGCTGGTCCAGTACACCAGGCCCATGTCACCCTCTTCTCTCACCTGTCCTGGGGTCCTTCCTTCCACTGGCTGGCCAAAGAGGGAGACCTTTCCAGATGGAGGAGGATCCTACCTCAAACTAGGATAAATGTGTATTGTCCTACTCCTCTGCTAAATTCTCCAAGAAAAAATTCATTAGAAGTTTCTGTGCCAACCTCTTAAGGAACCTTCCCATGGCGAATGTATGCACAACACATTCCTTTTCTGTTGGGGGGCTTTTTTTATTTTTGCTGGCCAGTTCAGGGCTTGAACCCTGGACCTTGGTGTTATTAGCACCACATTCTAACCAACTGAGCCAACTGGCCACCTCCAGGGCATTTTTAAGCAGCCAGACTTTTCCTTTTGCTAAATGATGCTCCAGAATTTTGAAGTCCCCAGTCTTGAGATTGGTGAAATGACAATCTGTTTTGTGTTGAAACATGGACAGAACTTGGGGTCCAGATCCTATTTTCATCTGCCCACTCGTGGCTAAACTAACTGCCTGTGTTTGGAGGACATTTTTCCAAATAAGATCTGTTTCACAAGAAAATCTCTCAGCTATCCCTGGGCCCTTTCCTGGATATTGAGCCATTGGCAGATCTTAATCTTATTCTCTTTGTTTTCAGAAACCTCTCTTCACATCTAATTTCACAGGGCTGCCTTTGAGCCTAAAAATCCTTTGAATACAAAATGCTCCTGTTTCTAAGAATCAGTACTCTGGGCAGCCATATGCTTCCCCTTTAAAGCATAATCCAAAATTGAGTCTTTACAACCAAATCAAGAGCATGAGATAATCACAGCAGAATGTGAAGACCATAAATTTTTTTGCTACAAATTAGGAACCTAAGTCCCCTCCCTTGAATGTGGACTGTATTTAGTGATTTGTTTCTAATGAATAGAATGTGGTAAAAATGACAGAAATATGACTTTTGAGGGTAGGTTATAAAACATTCAAGTTTCCATCTCTCTCTTGGTTTACTCAATTTGGGGGCTGGCTGCCACATCATGAAGACATTCAAGCCATTCTATGATGAGGCCCTTGTGGTGAGGAACTGTGGCTTCCAGCCAGCAGCCATGTGAACATTCTTGGAAACAGATCCTCCAGCCCCAGTCAAGCCTCCAGATGAGACTGAAGCACCAGCTGACATCCTGACTGCAACTGCATGAGAAACTGAACCAGATCCACCAATCTAAGCCACTGCTGAATTTCCTAACCCTCAGAAAGTATGTGAGATAATAAATGTATGTTTTTTAAGCCACTCTTTTGGGGTAATTTGTTACACAGCAGTAGTTAACTAATACACTTGCACGTCATATCCCATCCACTAAACCTGGTTCTGTAGAGCTTTAGCACAGGGGACCCCTGGCCAAATGCTAGACAAAGCATTCTGTTTTCAAACAGAGCTTCAGTTTGGATCCCAGCTACCTGCATTTCCTACCTTAGTGAACTGGGCTAGACCGTTAAGAGAAATTGTGAGCCGTCCCTCATCTTTCTTCCAGAAGATCCAGAGCCTGATATTAATGGCCAGCTGGGCCTCTGCTTCCTCACCTCTGAGCCCTGCTCTGGTCTGTCTTCATTCTCCAGCATCTCAGGTGCCCCTGCGGCAGGGCACCCTCTTCTGAGAGTGGGCTTTCCCCCAGAGTGGCTCCCAAAGGCCAAGTTATCTTCCCTGCTCTGGGAGGGGGGTGACATGGCAGAAGCCCGAGGGCATAGTGAGGCTTTTTCCTGCAGTTTGAGGAAACCTGTCAGGTGGAGGCTGGGGGAGGGTCTCTGGTTGGGAATCCCTCCCCAGTCCTCAGATGTATCTGTTGGAGTGATTGGCAGGAAGAGGAGGGTAAAGGGCTAGCCCCTCACCTTTTTCCCTGGTTAATAAGTCACAGTCAGCCTGGAGAGTGGCCTCATACCATGTACATTTCTGCTGACTCTGACAATCATCAGGCCCTGTCCTGCCCCCCAAGCTTCTCTGCTGCTGCAGCTGCTGCCACTGTGGCCCCAAGAAGCCCCTGAAATGTCTCACTTTGTCTTCGACCGGTGGCCTCCAGTACCAGCCCAGAGAAGACAACTTTGTAATGTTGCTTGTGTTGTGAATCTTCTTCCACTCTCTGCCAAAATGGAAGCTTATAAATCCTATCACTTGTACATGGAAAAAAACTCCTAAGTCTCAGCCACCAGGAGGAACTTAGAAAAAGTGAAGTCCTAAACCTGTGCAGCCGTACCTCTTCCTTTTCTCCTTTGATCCTGCTTAGTTTCTGCAACAGAGGCTCAACTCATGACCCTCAGAGCCCCGGGGCTCTGGTCATCTCTAAATCCTGGTGACTGTGGCCCAGAGTCTGCTGGAAAAGGAATGCTTAACCTCCATCTTCCTGTTGCATGATTTCAGAGGGTTGGGTGGCTCTCAGGATGTGGTTTATGCCACAGCCCCAGGCCTGTACCCTCAAAATTAGCCTCTAAACAGGAGCACCCCCAGTGCACAGGCCCCACGGTGACCACGGCAGCATCTTTCTGCTGGAGCGAGCACACGCCCTCCTACGGCGATGTTTTTCAGAGGAAGGCAGTGTTTGCGGACAGCCCACCCTGCCCTGGGCTCACAGTTGACACCTAATGTGACACTGTTGATGATCCAGGACCACAGATGCCACTGGCTGTTCACAGCAGATGGGAGGGAGAGGGAGTGAAGGGCTCTGGTTTGGGTCAGTTCCTGCCAGCTGTCTGCCACCTGTGAACCAGGAGGATAAAGTTCCCAAGAGTGATTAATAGTGGCGATCAGACTCCCATGGAGAAAGGACCTCTGTTCCCTGCGGGGAAGGGTGTTTGAGACTAATCAAACTGTCTCCTCCCCTGGAGGGAAGTATCTCGGCATGTCTGCTCTTGTTACCTCCACAGTGACAGCAGCAGACAGTGGTAGCAAGTGGAGACCCAGGTCTTTGTTGAAGTCGCCCTCTCTGGTCTCTCTTGCATATTTAACCCCCTTGGTGGTCCTTTCCAATGTGACCAGGATGCTCTTCTATTCCCTCGGTTGCTGCATTCCTAATTCCCATCTTGCCCTGAGTAGATTAGTAGCAACGTGACCTCCTCTGGTGTGAGCCTCGTTGCAGCAGGGTACAGGCCCTGTGCGGTGGGCTGAATGGTGGCCCCTAATTGCTGGAACCTGTGAGAGTTACCTTGTGTGGTAAAGTTTTTACAGGTGTGCTTCAGTAAGGATCTCTAGGTAGGGAGATCATCCCAGATTATCCATGTGGGCCCTAAATGCCGTCACAAGTGTGCTCATAAGAGAGGGCAGAGAGAGACCAGTCACACCGAGGAGAAGGCCATGTGAGGACGGAGGCAGAGACTGGAGTGATGCAGCCACAGGCCAAGGAATGCCAGCAGCCGCCAGATGCCAGAGAAGGCAAGGAATAGCCTCTGCCCTGGAGCCTGCGGAGGAGTGCAACTGTGAACACAGTGAGTCAGGTCCAGTGAAACTGACTGTGGATTTCTAACCTCCAGAACCATGAGAGAATGAATTTTGGTTGTAAGCCACCAAATTTGTGGAAATTTGTTACAGCAGCCACAGGAAACTAATAGGTCCACATGGAAACTTGATGTTTGACCTTGTGATTCTAGGCTCCCTTCTGTCAACAGTGCAGTGCCACAGAACATGGGTAGGGAGTGGGGAGAGATGGGCCCTCGCCCCCAAGGGCCTTGTGAGTTTGCCAAGGCACTGGGAAAAGGGGAGCAGGAGAGTGATTCCTGGAGAGAGAAGGGTCACTGGCTCCTGAGTGGATGATAAACAGTGCGAGAGTGGAAACCACTAGAAAGCTGTGGCTGTCCAGGTGGGAGGGGTTAGGGGCCTGGAGCAGAGAGGTGGCCGGACAATGGGCAGAGTTGAGGAATGAATACTTAGGAGACTGGAAGTGACTGCACTTGGGTATGGATTAGGTTTGGAGGCAGATAGAGGGATGTGCCTACCTGATGCCAGGCACTGTCCAAAGATGGAGAAGGCACCCAATGAAATCCCCGCTGCTGTGGAGCTCATGGAGGGAAGAAGCAGGACCCCAGTGGCTGATACCTGCAAACTGTGCCATCAGTGTGTGTGTCACACATGTGCATGCACACACCTGTCCCCACTCCTCAACTGCTGGTTTCTCCTGGGAAAAGAACAGCGGGGGGGAGGCACCTGTCCCCTGCTTTGCTTCTCTTTTCTGACTGCCAGTAGGCCCCTCTGTGAGGAGACTGGTGTAAGATCCACATCATCATCCTTGCTTAGGAAAAAAATATACTCTGGATCTTTTTCAACGACCTGTCCCCTGCTTTGCTTCTCTTTTCTGACTGCCAGTAGGCCCCTCTGTGAGGAGACTGGAAAGGGCAGGGTGTAAGATCCACATCATCATCCTTGCTTAGGAAAAAAATATACTCTGGATCTTTTTCAACATATTCATTGAGTTTGAGAAACTTATGGTGAAGGTTCTAAGGGCTTCAAGGTGAAAAAAGACACCTCCTGTTGATTCAGGATCTACATGTCTGAACCTGAAATCAGCTGTGTTTCTCCTGAGAATAAAACCCAGAGTGCTTTTTGAATGCTGTCAAGAGCCAAGAAGCCATTTTGTGATTGCCTGGGTGTGCTTGGGTCCAAGGCCTTCTTCCTTGCCTCACTTGTCAGCTGGGAAAATGCTTGAGGCCCTGACTGCTGGACCCAGTGAGTCCCCTGGGCAGGGGAGAGTGAGACAGGCCACCTCCTGTGTCTGCTGCTAAGAAGGTGCCTGTATGTCCTTACTCCCCAGCCAGCCCGAGCTGGTTCCTGTGGTGGCAGCAGGAGTGCTGGGCTTTAGTACTGGAGACCTGGGTTCACTGTGCAGCTCTGGGACATACCACTGTGGAAACCGGGCAACTCACTTTATTTCTCTGAACCTCAGTGTCCTCCTCTTTAAAATGGAGAGGAGAAGGCATGTGTGTAAGGGCGTGGCCTCTTGTGGGTCCTCAGAAAATGGAGTTCCGTGTGCCGAGATGGCAGTCGGCCTCCCCCGGGGGCCCTCTGCACGCAGGGAGTGCTGGCTGACTCTGTGTGCAGAGTGCAGAAGACGCGCTGAGCTGTGGGCTGTGATATATGGTTTCTAGTTCCAGCTTGCCCTCCAGCTGGCTACAGGACCTTGTTCCCATCAACCGCTGGCTCTGAGCCTCAGTTTTCTCATGTGTTAAATGTGCATAAAAATTCTGCTTATTGAAGTGTGGCCCCAAGTATTGAATGGGATAATGTATGAGAAGGAGCCTCATAGGGTGCACAGTGCTGTCTGTAGTCAAGGAAAACATTCTCACTTTGAACTTGGGGTGGTGAACTCATTGGAAGTGGGGAAACATGGGGAAGGGCAGGTGACCAGAAGTTAGGAGTGATGTGTGTGCCTGGGAAGAAGGCGGAAAGTAAACCAGTCGGTGTGTGTGTTGCCTCCTGCCACCTAATCCTGCAATCTGCTTGAATATTTTCACTGCCATCTGTCAGCAGCTCTAAAATATGTGGCCTTATTTCTGTCCTGTTCCCTGTGTTTACATCTGGTTAGCAAGATTCAGCTGGGGAGGTAAATGTTATGGAAGGTTGCTGGCAGCAGGCACGATGGTCCTCAAAAACAGCACTTTGGACTGGCCAATTGACTCAGTTGGTTAGAGCATGATGTTCTAACGCTAAGGTCAAGAGTTTGGATCCCTGTTCCGGCCAGCCACCCCCGCCCCCCAATAGCATTTTCCTGGCTAGCCACACACACACAAATAGCATTTTGTATTTAGCCTTTGCTACTAATATTTACATTTAAAAAATATGTATGGAGCACCTCCTAATTCACTCAAAACTGAAACCTCACTTGAAGCTCACAGAGTGGAGTAGGACTTTTTGGTGGCAAGGGATAGAAACCACAACCAAACTTGGCTAAAGAATAAAAAAGGGAGTTTATTGGCTCATGTAACTGAAAAGTCCAAAGGTAGAGGTGGTTTCAGGCAGAGCTGTATTCAGGACTCAGATGATCTCCATGGGGTGGGACCTGCTTGCTGCTATGGGGTTCACTCAGGTTTTCTTCCTGCTAGATCCCCCACTCCCACCCCCAAAAAGTTGCTTCTTTCTCAGTGGTCCCAGCAAAAGCATGTGGATCATGTGTCCAGCCCTTACCCAGTTTCTGAGTGGCCAGGAGCTTGGAAAGACCCAATTGGTCAGGTCTGGTTCATGGCCCCAGCCCTGGAAACCCAAGGACTAAGCATGGGTTGTTATGGTCTTGCAAGAGGCTCAGCAGGGTACTGTTGGCAAGAGAGGGTTAAAAACAGTGGCTGTCCTCTAGAAACCAAGGTTAGGTGGTCTGCCTACCATGACATAGGGTAGAGCCCAGATTTGAACCTCCAGCTGGCTGGTTTCAAAGGCCTTACCGTTCTTGCTGCTCAGAGCAGTGGCCCTCAGCCCCGGCTACACATTAGAATCATGACAGGAATGAGTTAAAAAAAAAAAAAATACCCATGCCTGGGCCCCACTCCCAGAACAAAGAAATGGTATGCTTTGGGGGTGGGCCATGGGCATCAGTATTTCTCAAAAGCTCCCCAGGTGATTGTACTGTGCAGCCAAAGTCAAGAACCAGTGGATTATGATTACCTCTCCTCTCTCCCACTGTATGCTGTAGGGCACTCAATATTACAAGTTTGATCACTGTCAGCAAAGACATAAACCAGAAAATCTAGGTGACTCTGAGGGATGATGAGCAGGTGCTTGGAGAAAGGGTTTGGGATCAGGAGCCCTGGGGTATGACCTGGTGCAATTACTCCCTGGCCTGGCCTTGATCATGTGGGCCTGAAGGGAGCTGGAAGTGAATGCGGGTTGTTCCAGAGTGGCAGACAGGGATTCCCATTTGCAGCCAGGTGGCCACCAGCTCCCCTTTCTCCCCTTGCACATCCTTAACTATCACATGTAAATTACTTAGCAGTTGCTAGTTGGCAATGCACACTTCAGGAGGGTGAGAAACATCACGGTCCCAGGAGAGTGGCACTTTTTTCTTCCACCTGCCGTGGCAGCCCTGCTGGCACTGCGGGCTGGAACAGGGTTTGCACGCGAAAATGCCCAGCAGCCAAGCTGCTCCTGGGGCTGCTGGCCACCAGTCACTTCCTCTTCTAAGACAAAGGGAAAAAGTGAAAAACGTAGCTATTAAGGAACATGCTGCTGCTTTTGTGATTAGACATAGGCCTGCAGAAGTGGCCACCAGCTTCCTTAGTCACACCTACTGCTAATCCAATGTGTCATTCACCTGTTCCTTATGCTGTCCTGCCTCTTCACCCGTTTCTCTACAACCTCTTTCTCTGCTCTGGCAGAAAGGAAACCAACATTGTTGCCAAGTGCCCTCTATATGCCACGTGCTGTCTCTACAGAGCAGCAGACTGAGGGTGCCAGAGGCTAAGTGACTTGCTCAAGGTCACAAAGGAGTAAACTCCTGGCACTGAGTCCCAAATCCTCAGCTTTCCTGAAGTCAAAGCCCTTGTTCTTTCCCCAGTTTGACACCGATAGTTCCTTAACATTCCACAGATCTGCTCTGGCTCCCCCACTCCACACCCACGATTTCAGTATATTTTCCTTCACCCACTCTCCACAATCAGTTTTAGTGTCCTGCCTGTTTCTGTGGCACAAGTCAAAAAACAAGAGCCTCACGGGCCGGCCCGGTGGTGCACTGGAGAGTGCGCTGCTTGGGAGTGCGGCGACGCTCCCGCTGAGGGTTCGGATCCCATGTGGAGACCGGTTCCCGCTCACTGGTTGAGCGTGGTGTGGGCGCAACACCGAGGGTTGCGATCCTGTT